ACGGGGGACTATGTTTACATACTAAAAGAGAACCCTGGGCCTGAGCCCTTTCCGGGAAAAAATGCTCAACATATCGTCCCCTGATTATGGTTTGACTATTTTTGAATATTCCTCCTGTGGAAGGACGGGCCCGACTTCAGCACATGGTTGGGTCCCTCGCCAGGATTTTGTTTCTGCAGGGGCGGCAAGGGGGATCCAGCACCGCGTCAACAACAAAAATATCCGCCACACCGCCCGTGCGGCACGTTGAGGGGCGCGGCCGAATGCCAAAGGCTGCCTGGTAGGGTCTCTGTAGTTTCTGGCGGCGCGCACAAGGGGGGTGGGGGGAGGGGGAAGGCTTCTCAGAAGCAGGCTGCTTCTTAGAAGGCGCTGGCCTTACGTGTACAAAGAAGGCGCGCGCCTACTAAGAAGCAAAGAAGCCTTCCCCCCTCCCCCTGCCTGCTCTGTGCGTGGCCGAAGGTGTCTGACAAATACCCCACATCTTCGCGGTCACGCCCAGGGGACTGCACCACCTCGACTCCCAGGGGGTCCCTGGGCTGGGCTGCCACGGCGCCTCCCGAAGGCCCTCCAAGGCTTCCACGGCGGCCCAGGACGCCCACCCGGGCCGCCAAGAGGCCTGCGAGGCAGCTGGAGATCGCTCCAAGACGCCTAAGACCCTAATACTGCCAAAGAGGCCTCCAAGACGCCCCAACATGCCTCCAAGACGCACCCCAAAAGGGGCCCAAGAGGCAAACATCATTGGTTTTCCTCTGGTTTGGAAAAGATGTTGGTCTTCTCGCCTGTTCGGCTTCCCGGCGCTCCAGGACAGCCCCAGAGGCCCCCAATAGGGCCCCAAGACGGCCCAATCGGGCACAAAGACAGCCAAAGAGGCGCCCAAAACAGTCCAAGAGGCCCCGAAGACGGCCCCAAGTGGGGACTCAGATGGGGGGCCCGAAAGGACATGTCGAGCCCTCCGCCCCGAGGGGTCCCCAGGAGGCCCCAAGAGCCCCCCAAGAGGCCCCCAAGAGACCCCAAGAGACCCCCAAGAGAGTAACACAACTCCCGAGAGGCCCCAGAACTGCCCCTAAGAGGCCCCCGAGAGCGCAAGGAGCAGCCCTGAGAACTCTGACCCGCAACCCAGGCACGGTGGCGGGACTTGCCGTAAGAAGCTGGATGCACATTGCACTTCGCGACGAGATCTCCGTGGGCACCCCGCGATCATTCACCATGATGGCGGCGCCGCCGAGATTGCGCGTTGGTTTTCGAAAAGGATGGTGGAGGCCGGCATGATTCCCGATGTGCGCGGGCGCACCTGGCACACTCTGCGCGTGCCCCGAACATGGCGCACCTGGTGCGGCTGGAGCATACGGTGCGCTTGGCGCACGTGGAGCACGAGGCGCATCTGGCGCAGCAGGCGTGCCCGGCACGCTTGGGCCCCAGGGGCGCCTGGCGCGCCTGGTGCGCCTGGCATGCGTGGCGCACCTCGCCCCAGCGTCGCGAACATGAGGTCTGGATTTGTCCCTAGTCTCTGCCTATCCAAATACGACCGCGGAATATGCTGAAACTCGGGTGCTACTTACGTGTTGGGAGGGCGGGTGGGAGTGCGCAAAATAGTTTGCGCCCGGGAGAGGTGCCTTGGCCCCTCCCCTTAACCTGGTCTGGACGGGGGTTCACCGCGGATAGCCAGGGCATCCAAAATGGCGTCGGCGAGAAGGCAAACATCTTTGGGCGGACAGGACTCTGAAACCAACACCAACAACGTGTTGGTTCAATCGAACCCGGGACTGCGTTTTGAGCCCGACCGAGCACGTCCTGGCCCACCGACTCGCAAGGGAGAGTTCTGGGGAGAGAAGATGTGAGCATCGCTTACAAGCCCCGCCAGTAAAGCCCACCCGCGAGAGCCCAGCAGCCAGTTCGGCGCCGCTTAGTTGGGGAACGATAGATGGGGGGGGGAGAGACAGGTGCACTTCTCGTGCCCTCAAGGCCCCTTTTTTGGGGGGGGAGGGAGGTGCACTTCTCGTGTTCTCTATGGCCCCCTTTTGGGGACCTAAAGGGCCTTTCCAAGGGGCCATCACGGGCCCCTTTGCTGTAGCCCTCGCCGCCCCCTGGTGGACCGCCCCCCAGCACAGTCGGACCTGGGGCAGAAGAATATCTTTCAAGAGCATGAGAAACCCTCCGCTGGCCAACGCACACAGGACATCCAAGGGTACCTCTGCCCAGGATGCAGAAGAACATCCAACAGACACGAACAACACTAGTCGGCGGTGGACAAACCTCCCTGTAGTAGACCTCCCCTTAGTGAAAACGGCCTGGGACCGAAACCGACGGACCTGGACCCGCAAAAATGACGGCCGCGACGCCCTCTCGCAAACCGAAAACGGCCAATTCCTTAATCGACGTGTCACGGTAGGAGGTCTGTCCACCCCCGAACTAATGCACACTCCCCGAGCCGACCTCGATCGTGTACCTCGGTCCGACCCCACTCGACGCCCAAGCCAGCGACGAGCGCCCAGGCTCCTCCTCCTCCTCCTCCTCCTCCTCCTCCTCCTCCTCCTCCTCCTCCTCCCCCTCCTCCTCCTCCTCCTCCTCCTCCTCCTCCTCCTCCTCCTCCTCCTCCTCCTCCTCCCCCTCCCCCTCCTCCTCCTTCCCCTCCTCCTGCTCCTCCCCTTCCTCCTCCTCCTCTTCCTCCTCTTCCTCCCTCCTCCTCCTCCTCCTCCTCCTCCTCCTCCTCCTCCTCCTCCTCCCCTCCCCCCTCCTCCTCCTCCTCCTCCTCCTCTCCTCTCCTCCTCCTCCTCCTCCTCCTCCTCCTCCTCCTCCTCCTCCTCCTCCTCCCCCTCGTCCTCCTCCTCCTCCTCCTCTCCGCCTCCTCCCTCCCTCCTCCTCCTCCTCCTCTTCCTCCTCCTCCTCCTCCTCCTCCCTCTCCTCCTCCTCCTCCTCCTCCTCCTCCTCCCTCCTCCTCCCTCCTCCTCCTCCTCCTCCTCCTCCTCCCTCCTCCTCTCCTCCCTCCCTCCTCCTCCCCCGCGTCCTCCTCCTCTCCTCCTCCTCCTCCTCCTCCTCCTCCTCCCTCCCCTCCTCCTCCCCCTCCTCCTCCCCCTCCTCCCCGAGAACACTCGTGGACCCGAGGGCCGCGGCCTGCCCGCGGCGACCTGCGCCGAGCGCTTCCCCGACTCTCGGCCCTCGGGCCCAAGCCATACCTGCAGAGCCTCCGCGGGACCACGCACCCTCGATGGGTTCCGTCCCAGTGGAGCCCAGGGACACACACACACACGTAAATACGCACCTTATGTTCATATTTTCTTGGAGGATCGTCGATTAATTGTGTCTGTGTGTGTCGTTTTCCCTCCGGACTTTTTCGCCGTCGGGACGCTCGTCCCAGGGCGGCAGGAAAATCCATACCCCCGTGGTGGGACGTCAGGATATGAACTGTCCAGCAGCCCTGGGACTGGCGCCCCCCGGCGACTCAACAATTTTGTATACCGCCCTTCGCCCGCCGATTGTAGAGGGGTCCTAGGACACACGAAAAAAACGACACAAATCCCAGGATTCTGGGTTCTCGTCTTCCCCCCCACTTCCCGTAGTCCCACCAGCCCTCTGGGCGTCGGTGGTTTAACGCGTTTCCTCTTCGACCTGGACAGGAGGGGCGGGGAGCGGTCAGAGCGTCCAAAACGGCCTCGGCGAGGAAACAAAAAAACATTGATTTTACTATGGTTTTGGCCCCATTTTGGCCTTTTCAGGGGGCAGCGCTAATTAAGGCTCCCCTCTTCTTTGATCCATTTCCTCCACGATGGCCGCAAGAGGCCCCCATGATGCCCCAAGAGGCCGCAGGATGGCCCCAAGATGGCCCCAAGAGGCCCCCCAAGAGGCCCCCAGGAGGCCCCCAAGAGACCCCCAAGAGGCCCCACGATGGCCCCAAAAGGCCCCAAGAGGCCCCCAGGAGGCCCCAAAGAGGATCCCGAACGGCCCACAGAGGCCCCCCCGAGGCACCCAAGACGCCGAAAAGCACCTCAAGACGACCCTCTACTCGCCTGGGCGTCGTTTCTGGACGGGCTGGTGGGGATACTTTTTTTTTACAGCCGCAGGCGGAAGCGCCAGCGGCGGAAGGTCGCGAACGGGCCGCGGACGCGACTAAATTACCTAACGCGGGCAGGGCCGCGGATCAGGCGGCTCACGACAGCGTCCAGGGAAGACGGAGCAATCCAGGTGCCATGACGGCCCCTCAACGGGCATGCGGGGCTGGTGGGGATACGCGAAGCGTCTAGAATTTCCCATCATATCTTCCTTGGGCTAGACGATTAGTTGTGTCTGTGTGTTTCTTCCCCTCCTGACATTGGTGCCTGCACCTTGACGACCTGTACCGAGCGATCCGGATTCTCGGCCCTCAGGCCCAGGCCCTACCTGCAGAAACCTCGCGGGGCCACGCACACTCAGGGGCTCCGTTCCAGTGAGGGTCTTGGCTTAACGGGCGAAGAGCGGTACAACATTAACTTGTTCGCCGTCGGGACGCATGTCCCAGGGCGCACCCGGAGGGGCTCCGTTCCAGGGCGGGTTTTGGTGCTGGTGATGGCTTCCCCACATTGCCGCTGTTGAAAAGCAGGTACAGGCACCGGGACGCCACTGGCAAAGTTGGGAGCACTTTCTCTGTGGACGCTGGCTGAACGAGGCCCCCTGAAGCTCAAGGGCACGCCAGGGCCACCGATCATCGCAGGCCCCATTGAGCAGGAAGGCCGAATATCAAGACTCGTGGGGCCCCAGGCCTCATAGTGATCATTGGCCTCATGAGGGTCCCTTGAAAGGAAGAGGGGGAGGGCCCGCGGCGTCCTGCACCCTTCCTCACAACAACCCTTGACAACGGACAGGCGAGCGCCGGAGACGATGACAAAGGTATGCAACTGGGATTCGGGACCTTTCTATTTCAGAAAGATCTTGGCGCCCGTGCCGGGCTCTGATGCGCCGAAGGATTGCGGCTCCTTGAGTTGAAGACCCGTTCTGGCCTCCTACTTGGCGGCACCCCGGGCGCTGAGGCGCCCGCACCCCCAGGAAGCACACGGCGGCCCCCACGAGTTGGCCGGCGTGCAGCGGGTTCCCGAGGACGGCCACGGATGCGACGATGCCGAGGCAGCTCTTGACGACGCCCAATACCTGCGTCGTCGTCCTCCTCCTCATCATCCTCCTCCTCCTCCACCTCCTTCTCCTCCCTCCTCCAACACCACCTCGTCTTTTCTCCTCATCCTCCTCATCCTCATCCCCCCTCCCCGCTCTAAGGCAATGCAATGATTAACCAACAACCTCGTCGCGTCGCGAAAAATCACGACAGGAGGCTTTGGGCTGATTTCGGCTTTCAGGGCACCCTCTCCAGACCCCGGGACAGGCAACAAGTGACTCAGGAAGAAACAAAAAAGCTCTCGGGGGGGGTCCAGAACTCTGGTGGCCCACGTTGCGAACAAACCACGACGTCGGAGTTCTCCCTCTCCAGGCAATGCGAGCCAGTGGAATATCCTGACTTACCACGTCCTTGGGTCGGTCTTCGGGCTTCGGGAGCCTCGGTAGGCGGTGGACAATGCGGGGGTTTTGCAAATCAGCTTTTATGGCGGATTTACCTGGCGCCTCAACTAAAGACACCGACTTAAAGAAGAAGCCTCTTGGGCCTCCTCCGAATACGACGAAGCCAAGACGAGGATACAATCGGGCGAAGACAGCTCGAGAATCTGTGAGATCCGGCGGCTCTGGAAGATGTTCCGGGCATCGCGACCTTATCAAAGCGTTCCGGAACGCGAAGGCTCTGAGAGCGTTCTGGACGCTGTGGAACGGATTCATCCTCGCCCTAGCCCCGTCCGATTTGGGCCTTCGCCGAACTCCCAGACGGCTTCCAAAAAGGCGCGATGGCTTCTGAGTCGGGGGCGGCCAAGAGGGAGGCGTCCACGAGGGGGGGCGCAAATCATGGCCGGCGGCACGTGCGTGGCCCAAGGGGCTAGGCCAGGGACGTATTGAAATCAGAAGAGGCGCCATGAAATCTGGGGGGATATGCTGGCCCCCGCCATGAAACCCACCCCCCCCAATCATCACTCTCCTCTTTGCCGCCCCCGACTGAGAAGCCCCGCCGCTTTCTGGGAAGTCCAAGGCCTTTCTGCCTCCGCAGCGGGGCTCGCCCCTGCCGCCAGGCACTCCCCTCGACGCGTGGGCGTCGCCGGCGCCGGGCAATGCAGCTGCGCAAGCTGGCCAGGAGGACTAAGAGGGACAGGTGAGCGTGTTCTTATTCGGGCGGAAGGGGGGGAGGGCGGGAATCTGGCTCCAGACCTCTGCTTAGTGCGACTGTTTGCAAGAGTGCTGCCTCTGAGGGAGACTCCACCTGTTCGAAACAGGCGCCAAAAAACAGCCAAGATCCACTCCATGGGGGGGGGACGGAGGAGGGGTGCGAAGGCCCGCGCCGATCGGCAACACAACGAATAAAAAAACGCTCACCAGGAGAAAGGGTGGACGGAGCCTCGAGGAGGAAACAGGAGGAGAGGCAGGAGGAATAACAACAGGTGCATGGAGGAACAGGATGAGAGACAGGGAGATAGGAGGACGCCTGCACCCCGACCATGTGAATTCCTTCTTCGATGCGCTGCCTCGCATGTCCCGACCCCCCTCCCCCGGGGCAAATAATTCGCCCTACATTCATGTTCAATGCCATGATGTCCGGACATGGGCTCCAGCGGCCGACATCGAGGAAAACCGCAGGGATTGAAAAAACAAATCGTCGAATATCTGGGTAGATGGCGACATCTGAACCCTATCCTCACCCACCGTCGATTCTCCTGAATCGATGGAAACCGGGGGTAGGGCTCGGATCTCGCCACGTACTCGACGCATTCCGAACCCAAACCCCCGCCGCCCGTCGAGTTGCCTGAATCATTGATCGGCGAGGGGAGGGTTCGGATTCTGCCGCCGATCCCTACCCACGCCCTCCTCTTCCTCCTCCTCCTCCTGCTCCTGCTCCTGCTCCTCCTCCTCCTCCTCCTCCTCCTCCTCCTCCTCCTCCTCCTCCTCCTCCTCCTCCTCCTCCTCCTCCTCCCCCTCCCCCTCCCCCTCCCCTCCTCCTCCTCCTCCTCCTCCTCCTCCTCCTCCTCCTCCTCCTCCTCCTCCTCCTCCTCCTGTTCGGACTCGGGGACGCGATGCAGCGGATGCGCGGTCGCACGGAGAGGCTCCGCGCGGGGCACCCACGACAGAAACGACCAGCATCCGCGAGATCGCGGCCAAGGGGCCTGGCCCGCGAGATCGCGGCCAAGGGGCCCGGCCCGCGAGGCCGTGTTATGTTGCTCCAGATTAACAAACAACTGCATAAACTTAAACTTAAGTCGGGCATGTCCCCCTGCAGGGGGATTCTGGACGAAGAATAACGTGTACCCCAATTATACCCCCAAATGGTCACAAGGATAAAAAACAAAGCATCCCCTGAATATTGTTTAACATATGTTTGAACATTCCCCTGGTAGATGGACGGGCCCGCCTTAAACTTACACTGCTGGAGTAGGGGGCCAGATGCGAACCCTACCCCTACCCCCCACGATTCCTGAGGGGGAGGGTGGGGGTAGGGTTCGCATGTGGCCCCCTTTTCGTGTCCTCGGGCGTGAGCGTAAGAAGAAGACGACGACGACGACGACGACGACGACGACGACGACGACCCTCGACCCCCCGAGGGCGACGACGACGACGACGACCCTCGAGCCCCCGAGGTTCGCATGTGGCCCCTCTATGGAGGTCCGCGCAGATGTCTTGGCCTGGCGCTGGGGCACCCCCCCGCCACCCCCTTGGCACGCGGAGTGCCGGAGGCGCCGCCCAGGGGAGTCCGGGGCCGATCCCGGGAACTCCGCGCGGAGCTCCGCAGGTTTGTGTTTATGCCGTTTTGTTTTTTCTTGGATGTTCAGCCACGAGCGCCGTCGTCGAGAGTTTATGTTTATGCCGTTTTGTTTTTTCTTGGATGTTTAACCACGAGCGCCGTCGTCGAAAATTTATGTTTGTGCCGTGTTTAAGGGTCGGAGCTCTATACACCGACGCCTTCTTCCGGCCCCGCATTGAAGCTCGCACAGGAAAACGGATCCTGGTGTATACGGGATCCTGGTATACATGTTTCGTAGCTTCCCTGGAAAAACCATAGGATATACACCACACCACCCCGACGTCGTCCCCGATCCTCAATAAGTCCTGGGATTGAAAAGCAGCCCGCCACTGGTAACGCATATTCTCCAGTTTCCGAGTGTTGTTTTCCTTGGATGCTCAACCACGAGCGCTGTCGTCGAACCTGGGAACGCGGAGAGGAAGGAAACAGGGACCGTGACCAAGACTCCACGCGGGGACGCCGTGTCCATCTTGGCCACCGTCGATCCTGGTCAGCGTCAGTGCGTGGATCATCCTCGCCTGTGGGTGGCCGCCGACACCTGGACCATGACCAAGCTCGACAGCGACACAATCCCACGACATCTTGGCCACGGTCCCCGTGCTCCTTCCCTCTCACAAGCGTGATTGGGGAAACCAACAGGTACCGATACCGCTACTCCCCGCCTCTCCCGGGTGTGCGTTCTCACCAGGAATTCGAGGCGAATCCAGCGGTGGCGGCGAGGGCCTCCTAGGAGGCCCCACAAGGGCAAAACGGGGAGAGGGTAGAGGTATGGGTACCTTTTCCCCTGCTCTGATCGTGAGGCACCTGCAACGTCACTGCGCTTGTGTAGCGCGTCATGAAGAAGCCCGTGACGTTCAGCAGGCACGCGTTCACACCTCGGGTTAAGTCGGGCACGTCCGTCTACAGGAGGAATACTCAAAAACAGTGAAAACATAGTCTGGCGACGATGGTTCTATGATTTGTTGGCTCTGTGTTGTGTCTATTCTTTGTCTATGTTGCCTGTGTTTGTAGATTTGTCTGTTCTCAGTCACCATCTTGGAATATTTGTTCTACCTTTCCTTTTTCGTTGAAGATCCTCCTGTAGGACAGGCCCGACCTAAGCCTCGGGCCCCGGTGCCGGCTGGGCCGCAGGGGCGCCCCCGGGGGCGAGGAGAGCGAGGGGGGGCCTCCTGCTGGTCCTCGCCCTCCTGCTGCTCATCGTCCTTCTCCTCTCGTCCTCCTCCTCCTCCTCGTCCTCCTACGGCTCCTCTTCCTCCTCCTCCTCGTCCTCCTACGGCTCCTCTTCCTCCTCCTCCTCCTCCTCCTCCTCCTCCTCCTCCTCCTCCTCCGTGCTCCTCGTCCTGCTCCTCCTCTTTCTTGTCCTCCTCCTGCTCCTCTTCCTCCTCCTCCTCGTCATCGTCCTCCTCCTCGTCCTCCTACTGCTCCTCGTCGTCCTCCTCCTCCTCCTCTTCCTCGTATGTGGTGCGCAATATATGTGCTGCAATGGGCGTGATGGAATCTGTGTGGTCCAATCTATGTTGTGCAATATATATATATATATATATGGTGCAATCGACGTGGTGCAGTGTATGTGATGTATTGTATGTGGTGCACTCGATGCGGTACCGTAGATTGCACCACCTAGATTGCACCACGCGAGTTGCACCACATAGACTGCACCACGTAGAGTGCACAACATATATTGCACCACCAATCTTGCATCACGGCGGTTGCGCCACATAGCTTGCGTTGCGCACCATATTTATTGCACAACATGGGTTGCACACCACAGACTGCATCGCAGTCTGTGCACAACCTATATTCCACCAGATAGATTGCACCACATTTGTGAACACCATCGACTCCACAACGTGTATTGCACAACCTATGTTCCACAACGTAGATTCCACCACATGGATTGCTCCAAACATAGAGCTCGACATAGGTTATACCACATAAGTGGCACAATCTATATTGCACTACATCGGTTGCACCACGTAAATGGTACCACGTGTTCCATATAGATTGCGTTACATAGATTAAATACGCAGTTTTGTGTGCGCGGTGGCTGACATTTGCTTCACAATGTTTGGCCTCTAGGGGCTTATCCTGGGCAGCATAACTGTTCGAAAAGGGCTCCGGATGAAGAGCTGGACCCAGGGACGACCACCCCTCCCTGTCGTCGTGACAAAATCGTGACGGGTTGTACTTGGCAAGCTTCGGCATCAAGGGGCCCTCACAGGCTCTGGGACCATCTGAAAAGCCGTTGCGGGGAGGGGTCCAAATCTCTGGGGGTCCACGTGGTGAGAAGAGTCACTCACGACGTCGGAGTTCCGGGTAGGAGGGGAGAGCGGAGGAGGGCGAGGGGGGGAAAGGAGAGAGAGAGAGAGAGAAAGAGGCAGAGATAGATCCCACCAGCCCTCTGGACGTGGGTGATCTGGGGAGTTCGCTCTCCCAACCCCTGCTTCCACTTCGGGAGGGGGATTGCCACTGCCCCCTATGAAGAAGCAGCCCCTCCCCCGCTCGACTGGCCGACGACCAGGACCCATGCGGGCACCCACCCACCGTCCCTGGCACACGCCGCCCCTGCGGGGCTCGCGGAGGCGACTCCCTCCTCGCTGAGGAGGCGGCATGGCAGCCCGCGCGCTTCACGTGCCAGAACGTCAGATTCTGGTTGACTTCTTCGACGACCCCAACGGGTTCCGATGGCACATGCGTCTGCTGGTGCTGGCCACGCAGACATACAAAGCCAGCCTGGCGGCAAAATCTGAATCGCGAGCGGGCACCCCGCACGCACTCTGTGAGTGGGGTGGCAAGGGGAGGTAGATCTGCCCACTGTGCGCAGCTGGCCCCGCGCTGAGACGAAGCCAGGACGAGGATACGGTGAGGGCATTGAATAAGGACCCGTTTTAATAAGGAATCCAGGGTCTGGAAACCAGTGGGGCTCCAATCATGGACTGGCCATGGATATCAGCGCCGCCCTCATGGTCTGAAGCCTCCTGGGCACATTCTTTAACCACCCCACCGTGACATCGGGCGAAGATCTATCGAGACTTCTCAGAGCGTTCCCGAACGCTCTGGGGGCGTCCGGAAACGCTCTGGAACGGATGCATCCTCGTCCTAACCCCGCCGGACACACCCCTGCCAAAACCATGCGAACCCATTCTGGGCGCACACACCGTGATCACCCCGCAGCGACTTTGCATTGTTGCTTTGTCGGCGGGATGCTGATGGGGAGGTAGGCTTAGGCCGGGCTTGTCCCCCTACAGGAGGCTCTTGGGCGAAAAATTAAGAACATGTGCCACAACAGAAAATCCCCAAAACGCGCAACAACTAATATGACAAAAACGTCCCCCGACTATTTTTTGAATATTCCTAAAAACTCCTCCTGTAGAGGAACAGGCCCGACGTCAGGGTAGGCCCCTGGGACGGCCAAGGGGACTTCGCAGAGCAGCTCGCCCGGCCGACTGGCCGACTGGCGTTCGGCGCGCGGAGGGCCGTGCACTGACGCGCCGACGGGCGGGCGCGGTGGGCGGAAGCCGCCAGGAGGGTACCAGCGGTGGGCGGAAGCGCCAGGAGGGTACAGCGGTGGGCGTGGCGCTCTAGAAGCGCTCTCCAGCGCTCCCCAAGTGCTCCCAGGCGTGATCGGCCACGGCGGGGTCCGGACCCCGCCGTGGCCGTGCCCGCCGCCCCGTGCACTGACGCGCCGACGGACGGACGCGGTGGGCGGAAGCCGCCAGGAGGGTACCGGCGAGGGTCGCGCGAAGTCCCCGCCGAGCTCGCACACGTCATCGCTCGGACGTCCATTCCCTGTGCTTTTTGTCCAGTTTCGTGCGAGGCTTTTCCGCCAGATGATCAAGGATGCTCCTCGATGGTCCTCGCGGAAGGAAAAGTGCACACGTCCGAGCGATGCCAAGTCGCACACGTCACTGCCCAGTACTTCAGTATAGCATCTGCAGCGAAAACAACATCATCGCGTTGGAAGGGTGGGGCTCCCGCCCCCCCCCCCCGGAAGAGGAAGAAAGAGGTGAACCCCCTCGATCATCGAGGTAAGAAGGCGCCTAAAGATCTGGATCCAAAGAACCACAAAAATGCCTCCTTTTCGACGCTTGAGGCCGCGGATACGGAGACGTCTGTTGGAGGCCTGGTAATGGGCACCAACACCAACACAGCGGGTTGCCTCCACAGGGGGACGATGATCCTAGATGTCGGTGTTGGTGGTAATATTTCGACCACCTTGGGAGCCAGAACATTGCCATCATCACCGAGATCGGGATCTTCTTCCCTCGGTGAAGGCACACCGCCGAAATTGGTGTTGGTGTCAACCTCGCGGGCCTAGATTCTAGGCCTGCGAATATGTTTCCCTCCCCCCCCGAGCGGAGGCCGAGGGCCCGGCCAGACAGGAGCAGCACGGCCACCAGCCTGGGCCACCCCGCGCCGCCACCTGTCTGGTCCGCGGCGCGCCGTGCTGCCGTGGGCCGGCCGGCCCCACCACCCCTACACGACACCGCCCCCAGTATCATCTCGGTCGCCTAAACTAAAGTCGGGCGTGTCCCCCTACAGGCAGACCTTGGGCGAAAAATTAAAAATACTTTTTAAAAATGCACCAAAATCATCGACAAATAACAAAAAGAAAGCAATCCCTAGAATATGTTCAAATATCTTTGAATATTCCTCCTGTAAGAGGCACAGGCCCGACTTGAGCCTACACGTAAAGGGTCTTGAATCAACTCCCTGCATATAAATGGGAACTGATTGCTTCTCGCGCGGGGCTATTGACAGATTGGGGCCGACAACGAGCCTTGGAAACTAATCCCCCTTCCACGGAGGGGAGCACGAGGAGCCGGGCGAGGAGGGAGAGCGAGGAGGGGGGTGAGGAGGAGAGGACGAGGAAGGAGAGGACGATTGGCCAACCGAAAACTTTCGGGGGCGCGACAGACTCTTTGGGTTCACTTCGCGCATCCAGCTAGAGGAGCAACAACGGCCTAAACTCTCGGAACTCCGCCTGGATCTCTTGGACTGGCGCTGGTCCCCCTCCCCGGCGCACGGGGCCAGGAAAGGGGCCAACCGCCGTTCCGCGAAACCCGCGCGAACCTCCGACGTAAGGCCAGAAGTTCCTTGCCCTATTCACCCTCCTTGCCTCGGTCGACCTCTGCATCCCTGCCTCCTCTTCTCTCCTCTCGGGCGGGTGGCAATTGGGGGGGGCCTGACAAGGGGGTGGAGAAGAGGGCCCCCAAGAGGCCCTCTAGGATCCCTCTTGAAGCCAGCAGGGGCCCTGAAGGGCCCTTCTGGGGCGCGCTTCTTCACCGCCCGTTTAGGTCAGGGGCCCTAAAAAGGCCCTTATGGGACCCATTTCTTTACCTCCCGTTGAAGTCACCCGACGTCGTGTTTTTCCCTACCTAGGGTCTGCCTAGAAGGGTTCCTACCCTCTTTGCTTAAAGGGGCCGGGCAGTGGAACACGCCCCCAGCGGTTCCCCCAGGATCCGCCCCGCGGTTCCCCCAGTTGCGCCCCCTGGGTTCACCCAGCTTGGCTTAGCTAAGCTAAGCTTAGCTTAGTTTAGCTTATCCCATCTTAGCTTAGCGTAGCCGAGCTTAGCTTTGCCTAGCCTAGCCTAGCCTAGCCTAGCTTAGCTTAGCTTATCTCACCTTCGCGTAGCTCATCTCACCGTAGCTAAGCTAAGCTAATATAGGCTGGGCTAAGCAAAGCTAAGCTAAGCTAAGCTACGCCAAGCTAAGCTAAGCTAAGATGTAAATGTAGATGTAGGTGTAGATGTAGGTGTAGATATAGATGTAGGTGTAGATGTAGATGTAGATGTGAAGGATCCCGCAAGATCCCGCAGGATCCTGCACCCAAGCCCGGGTCAGTGCGACCCTGGCCCTGCAGGATCCTGCAAGATCGGGCGCTCTGGCTGAGCCCCGTTTTCAACAACCTGTTGATGATGCAACCGCCTCCGGCCAGCGTGCGCACGGCGAAGAGGCGGAGGCGGAGGTGGAGGAGGAGAAGGGAGGAGGAGCCCCTCCCGCGGAGGATGTTGGTGTTGGTGTTGATGTCGAGGAGGAGAGAAGTTGATGTGAATGTTGATGTTGATGTTGATGTTGAGGATGTTGATGTTGATGTTGATGTTGAGGATGTTGATGTTGATGCTGATGCTGATGTTGATGTTTGCATTGACCCCCGTCTCCTGAGCCCCGACCCATCCGCCCCCACACTGCTCCCGCTCTGCTGTGCCGCGTCTCCTGCCCTTCGCCCTCCCCCCCCCTCCCCCCTCGCAGCAGAGACGCAAAAGGGCGCGGCGGCGCCACGCGGACGCACCCTGCTGGGGCCACGGGTGACACCTCCCGACGGACTCAATTCCCAGGAGATTCGACGCTCCAGCAGAACACTTGGAGCGGGCGGTTTTTGCTTGGCCTCCAGGGGCCCTCGCCGGGCTTCGGGGCCGTCAGAAGGCAACTGAGGATGACAAGTCGGCCGTGGGGAGGTGATCCAGACCTCAACTCATGTATTTTGAGGCCCGCTCGGGGGATGGAGGGGGGGCATTTTTTACACGGCTTGCTCCCATGAGGGGCAGGAGGGTTGAGTAGCGGCGGCAGGGACAGGAGGAGGCAGGAGGGAGGGAGAGAGAGAGAGAGAGAGAGAGAGCGGAAGCATATTCAGAGGAGACGCGCGGCACGGCGGAGAGAAAATGAGGGCCCATGAACACCCGAGGTTTTGAGTATCGTTTGACCGATCCCCATCTCCAGCGGCGTGGCCTGGGCCCCAGCGGGTTTCGAGCGGTGTAGTCCCAACTGGGGTGGCAATTTGGTGGGAGTCTCGAAGGGGAGGCGGTTGGGGATGGGGGTCGGGTAAATAATACTGAGGGTTGGATCACACGGAGGAGCGCGAGGGAGATGGGAACGGCCCTGTCAGAACCATGGGAGCGAGGAGCTGGGAGAGGCGGCAGAAGGGCCAAGGCCAAGGCCACGGGGAGGGGGAGGGGAGTCGTTCTGGAGTCCCGAAGCGGTGCGGTGACAGACCGTGCAGTGACCTCGGAATCCTCCAAGACCTCACTGCACGGTCCGTCAACGCACGGTCTTGGGACCTTGGATGCCCCAATCGCACGAGACGTCCTCGGAGAACGACCGAGGTCCCAAAACCGTGCGGTGACCCCGAATCCCCACCGACTCACAACACGGTATGGTTACCACCCCGTTTGGGGCCCCCGAGTCATGGGCCAAAGGTCAAAATCGAAGCGGGAACAAGGAAGGGCTAACGGGCAATGACTCTGCCCCATGTTCAATATCCTCGCTCGCTTTCGGAATCTCCCAGCTCGTTTTCGGAGTTGCCTAGTTCGCCCCTCGGTCTTCCTGGTCTGACACTTGCTAACGGGGGGAGGGCGGGAGGAGGAAGCTGGAGCGGGAACATCTTCTAGGACGAGAACGACGCCATGATGTGATTGGCTCAACATACGCTCCAGAACTGATGGAACATCTGGCGGCCATTGTGTCTGGAGTCCGTGCGCGACAATAGGACATCCAGGAACACATGGGAACCTTGGAACGCATCATTATCATGACGTCTTGCTCCGCTGACATGTGTTCGGGCACACATACTCAAGATATCTGAAAGATAGTCGTACCCAAGCGCTGTTCGAGGTTGGCGGCTCGTGGCAGATGCGTGCATGGGGAGTGGCTACTCTCTGGAGCCCGTGCGGGAAAGTAGGAACTGTAGCAAACCCTGGAAACCTTCAAAAGTGCCCCTATCTTCCGGGCACCCAGAATGGTGTGCATTGCGAAGGGCGTAGTTTGCAGTGCGCGCCTCGGGGAAGCGAGCGACGACCTCGACAGGGACCTCTGCGCACCCCGACGAGGGCTCAGGGAACATTTGGCGCAACGCTGTGGCTCTCTCAAGCCCAGCGGCGCTGGTTGCACACCACATCGCGGCGCAATCACACCCATTGTAATCGCCGAAACGTCGATCCACCCTTTGCGACCCAGAACTCGGCTCATCTGCGGCCATCCGGGGCGATCCCGACACCGATGCAAACCATCCCTCTTTTCGAAGACGCTTGAAAAAACTGAGCCTTCCCGCCCCGCCCCAGCGTACGGCAGGTTCGTGTCGTGCCGACTTTGCCGTGGGTTTCTGACACCGCGGGGATCGTTCAACCTGGAATGATCGGCCGCTTCCGTCCCACCCAACGTCGCCCCTGAAGGGCCCTCCCCGCCCCAACGTGCGGCAGGTTCCTGCCGTGCCGCCTTCGACGTGGATCTCTGACACCGCGGGGATCGCTGTCAACCTGTGATGAGCGGCCGCTCCCGCCAGGGGGCAGGGCCGCCGCCGATCGACACGGCGCGAACCTAAAAGAATCACACCCGTTGTATTTGCCGAGTCGTGGCTGCTTTGGAGCAGAGACGGGCCGTCCCGGCATTCCTAAGAACCGAACTAAGTTCTAAAAACCAACGGTGTTCTTAGAACATCGACCCGATGTGTTGAAACAGACAGCCTCAGCCAGAAATGTTCTAAGAACACGGCGTGCAAACCAGACAAGGTTCTCAGAACATTCGCTGGTGGCCCTGTATCGGCAAGCCGCGACGCTTCGCCACTGCTCGATGAACGGAGCCCCCTCCCCTCGCGGACGGGAACACACATCTGATAGCCGCTGTGCCTCTGAAACCAATGGCGCCCAGGACGCGGAAGGCGCCTGCCGTCGGCAGCCGCAGCGGACGGGAAAGGGGGGTGAAGGAAGGCAGGGATGGTCGGAGGTCGGAGGAGGAGAAGGAGTAGGAGGAGGAGGGCGAAGAGGAGGAGGGGAGGGAGGAGGAGGAGGAGGAGGAGGAGGAGGAGGAGGAGGAGGAGGAGGAGGAGGAGGAGGAGGAGGAGGAGGAGGAGGAGGAGGAGGAGGAGGAGGGGGGAAGGCAGGACAATGGAAGGGAAGGCAGGGGACAAGGCGCCCTGGGGCGCGGACAGGCTTGCCGAGTCATCAGGGGAACGAAAAATGACACAAACATTAAAACTCGGAGGTCCGCGGGGATTTCTCGGATCCGCGCTTGGATTTGACGGCCGCGGCGCCCTCTCGAGAACCGAAAACGGACAATTCACTCATCGACGTGTCAGGGCACGGGGCAGCCGCCCTCCCGCCACCCTTGGCACCGTGGAATTCGCCACGGCCGCCCACCGCGCTCTGGCCCTGCGCGCGTGGCTGCTGCTCCCCCCCGGCTGCTCATCGTCGAACTCTTCGGCGTCTGAGCGGCCCTTCTTCCTCTCGGCCGTTCCCCTTCCCCTCGCTTTGCCCGCCGGCCAATTCGCTAGTTGGTGCCCCTTTCTAGCTTCTCGCTGGAACGGAATTCGCCGCTTCGCCGCCGACGAAAAACATGATGGACCCACGAACCCGGAAAGGGATATAGACATGTGGAGCATGGGCACGTTTTCACGATACCCAACGGGGCAACACCTCACGAAACATCCCACGAGACACCTCACGAAACATCCCACGAGACACCTCACGAAACATTCCGCGAGACACCTCACGAAACATTCCAGAGACACCCCGCGAAACATTCCACGAGACACCCCACGAAACATTCCACGACGACAGGCAACCACTCAACCAAGGCGGTGTGGTCGTGCTGGGGAGTGGTCGTGCTGGGGTGTGGTCGTGCTGGGGGGTGGTCGTGCTGGGGTGTGGTCGTGCTGGGGGGGTGGTCGTGCTGGGGGGTGGTTGTGCTGGGGCGTGGTCGTGCTGGGGCGTGGTCGTGCTGGGGCGTGGTCGTGCTGGGGTGTGGTCGTGCTGTGGTGAGGTCGTGCTGGGGTGTGGTCGTGCTGGGGTGTGGTCTTGCTGGGGTGGGTCGTGCTGGGGTCGGGTCGTGCTGGGGTGTGGTCGTGCTGGGGTATGGTCGTGCTGGGGTGGGGTCGTGCTGGGGTGGGGTCGTGCTGGGGTGGGTCGTGCTGGGGTGTGGTCGGGTGGGTCGTGCTGGGGTGTGGTCGTGCTGGGGTGTGGTCGTGCTGGGGTGTGGTCGTGCTGGGGTGTGGTCGTGCTGGGGCGTGGTCGTGCTGGGGTGTGGTCGTGCTGGGGTGTGGGTCGTGCGTGCTGGGTGGTCGTGCTGGGGTGTGGTCGTGCTGGGGTGGTCGTGCTGCACCCTGTGATTCATCGATCGGGTCGTGCTGGGGTGTGGTCGTGCAGGGGGTGTGGTCGTGCTGGGGTGTGGTCTGGGGCGTGGTCGTGCTGGGGTGTGGTCGTGCTGGGGTGTGGTCGTGCTGAGGTGGCCCGCACCCTGTGATTTATCGATCGGGATTTCAAAAACAAACGTTTCGCCTGAGACATCCTCAAATTTTAATCCGCCGGCCTCCTTCGACCTCGATATTTATCAAGGAAAGAATCCGCCGGCCTCCTTCAAATTGGGCACGGGGGACTATGTTTACATACTAAAAGAGAACCCTGGGCCGAAGCCCTTTCCGGGAAAATTAGGGTGGGGGCTCTGTCCGCCCGAATTTCAGCCCGGCGGCGGCGGCAGGCCTTCGGCGCCGGCAGCGCCGCCACCGCCAGCCGAGGGGTCCTCGCGGGAAGGAGGCGCAGCCGCGTCCGTGCCGCCGCGATCTGTTGGAGGCCTGGCAATGAGCACCAACACCAACACAAGGGGTTGCCTCCACAGGGGGAAGATGATCCTAGATTTCGGCGTTGGTGGTAATATGTCGGTCACCTTGGAAGCAATAATAGTACCACCATCACCGAGATCGGGATCTTCTTCCCTCGGTGGAGTGGTGTTGGTGCCAACATCTAGGCCTGCAAAGCTGGGCACCGAGACGCGACCGCACAGATTACAGTAGGGGCCCGACCACAACAAACCTTCCGCCCGACACCCAACCCTGAGACCCCAGGGCGTCCATTCATTTGTGGTGTTGGAGCGTCACGCTTCCCATAGAAAAAACCATCGAAACCCAAGACACCCAGGGAACCCTAGAGGCAAGCCGAGTGTTTCTTGGTACGGGTCTCCACTTCAAGGGCAACACGACCAACTCGCCATCGCTCGGACGTCCGTTCCTCGCTCAGTGTTTGGTTTCGTGCGTGCACTGCTTGGCACGATGGCCCAAAATGCTCCTCGATGGTTCTCGCCACGACAAATTCCACACGCCCGAACGATGCCAAACTAAAAAGGCCTCCCGGATGGGGTCGGAGTAGATCGGGCTGGAGGCGACGGGGGCGGAGCAGCATCGCGCCGCATCGTCGATGCATCGTCGGTGTATTGCCGCCGCATCGCCGAGGCATCGACGTCGCGTCGACGACGTCGGCGGTGCATCGGCGACCCCAGCATGGAGAACATCGGGCTCCACATCGAGCCGCATCGCCAATGCACCGGCGATGCGCGTGATCCTCCGACTCCGTCTACTCCGACCCTATCCAGGAAGCCTAGTACAACGCAGTCCAGCCCCAGCCAGGGCCCCCACCCCCGACCTTGCAGACCAAGGGGCCCTGGCTGGGGGTGGGGGCTCGTTTCTGCCCCCAAGGACCAACGCAACACCCTGCCAGGAACCCTATCTGGATCACAAGGTCGGGGGTGGGGGCTCTGGCTTGGGGTGCGGGTGGGCCGTGCCGTCCCCAAACATGGGCGATCCCGTGGCCACGCTCCCTGGGGCACCCAGCTTCGCGCATCGCGCCCCCCGATGCCGACTCAGAACTAGGGAAACCCTGAGATCAGACATTGCGAGAAGAACTGCAGCATCGCGGGAAAACGCACCTGGGGCCCCAAATCCCATCTCTCTGCATGTTCGGGAGCGGCCAAGAGGGGGGTGTCCAAGAGGACCCGATAGATCGGTGAGGGTCCCGGGGCCCGAAAATGGGCGGCAACGCCGGGCGTGAAGCAATCGCAGCGCCCAAATCCTTGGGCAACTCTGCTGCCCGGATGCGCAGTCCCGCAACCCGTAGCGTGTTGACACGGTGCTCAACACGTAGACTGAAAACGTCTGTTTGGCGCGACACTTTCGCCAAAACGTGGGCCAACACGTTGAGCCAACACGCAGCGTATGAACACTAACGTTGTGAACACGGTACATGTTGCGTTTCAAAACAGGCGTACGGGGGCAATCAAGCTGGGTACGTTTTCTGCCCACAGTGTCCCCGGCCCACCACTCCAGGCCGCCCTGCCAAAGCAGCCTGAATGGCAGAACACCCTCCGTCGCTAGGGTCAGGCCAGTCCAGAAATGCCCGCGGGGGGGGCAACCAGGCGTGCTGATCCAACCCTCGCTCGAATCTCGAAGACCAAATGAGAAAAACAAAGAACGCCATAAGCAAACTTTTGGCGCTCCGCTCGGATTTCTTGGATCCGCGCCGGAACCCCATCACCGGCGCGCGGAGCGCGCTAGAGGCGGCGCCAAAGGCGCCGCCGGGGGGGCCCAGCGCGGATCCAAGAAATCCGCGCGGAGCGCCAAAAGTCTATGTTTATAACGATTTGTTGTTCTTCTTCGACTGATCTCGTATGTTTCTTTCCGAGGAGAAGGCGGTACAGTCAACCCGTATCGTAAGGATGCGCGGAGAGGATGCAAAAGGGCCTCGGAGGGCCACGCCAGCGTTTTTCGATCGATGTCGTCCAGCGAACGTCGTTAAAGTTAGGTCGGGCCTGTCCAACTACAGGGGGATGTTTGGCGATTTGTTTTATTTGTTTTTTCAACAGAAAAAAAAGCTAATAATCAAAAATGCTCCAAACAAATGCACCCCAAATGCACCAAGATAGTCAACAAAATCGACCCCAGACTATCATTTTGACTATTTCTGGATATTCCTCCCGTAGAGGGACAGGCCCGACTTAGGACAAGGATGCCAGGGTAGCCTTGGAGAATCACTCGTCCTTACTATGCGGTTTGACTGCAAAAAAGGAGAACGACCGCAGCACCCGTCGAGTCCACCGTGCACTCCGTGGCCAGCACGGCAGAAACACCGGCGAGACGCATGGGATACGTCGGCCCCCATCCCAGGCAGTGGGAGGTTCCCGACCGGACCAAAAATTCTGGGGCCAACCCTGGGATATACTTAGGTTGGGCATGTCCCCCTGCAGGCCGATTGTGGAGGAAAAATCAAGAATAGTCCAAACATGCTAAAACACAAAAAAACTTACAAATCGTCCCAAGACTATTGTTCGACTATTTGGGAATACCCCGTCTCTTACAGCTCAAAAATGAAGAGTCCAGCCTCTTGAAATCCAAAGCCACTGGGGGGGGAGTTATCCACCCTGGAGCAACGGTAGACATCTTGCGAGGAATCGATCTGGACAATACTCTGATTACATAAACCTGAGGGAACGAGCGATGACATAATCATGAAAACTCGGCGCTCCGCGCGGAATTCTTGGATCGGCGCTGGACCCCTCTGCCTGGCGCGCGGAGCACGCAAGGGGAAGCGACGGAAGCGCCGCCAGGGGGGCCCAACGCCGATCCGAGAAATCCGCGCGGACCTCCGAGTTTCATGGTTATGTTAAAGCTTGTTCCTCGAAAGCTGGTCACGCGAGATCCCGAGAGCAGGGCACCGCTCCCCTACAACATCGCAAAGGAGAGGCCCCGAAGCGGCGACGGGCAGCACACGCTACAAGGCCAAGGACGAAGATCCTCATCCTTTTCCTCAACGTCCCTCCTCTTCCTCCTCCTGATCTTGAGAAAAGACCGAACGTTCCGGCATTAGTTAGAGGCTAACCGCGACATGTTCTTAGAGCAGCAAGAAATCCAAAACGCCATGCTCATAGAATCTAAGGCCGAGGTATCGGAACATGACGGTCTTAGCCAGAAATGCTGTGAGAGCGTCTCGTGCAAACCATAACTAGAACATTATGTGGTGGGGGCCCATATAAGAAAGGCATAATGCTTCTAAAGGAACGAACAATTACATAAACATACAAACTCGGCGCTCCACGCGGATTTCTCGGATCCGCGCTGGACCCCTCTCCGTGGCGCGCGGAGCGCGCCAGGCGCGGTGCCGGAGACGCCGCCAGGGGGCCTCAGCGCGGATCCGAGAAATCCGCGCGAACCTCGGAGTTGTCATGTTTCTGTCATTCTTCGTTCCCCTATTTTTCCGGGGATGGACAGAGTCCCCTTCTGTGAAGCACATGGTGTAGTGAGAACGGCCACTGCTGAAGGACCCCGAGCTACGCCACTGCTGAAGGATCCCCCCCGAGCTAAACGATCTGAGCTCAGCGAGGCCGGCGGTGCTGCGCGAGCCACGGCATGAGCAGCGCCAGCGCAAACGGAGACATGCCCGCCGCCGCGCCTGCCGCGGATGGTGTGTCAAGGCGCCTTCTGCTGTTGCGTATGAGTTGGATCTCCTTCTCCTTCTCCTTCTCCTTATCCTTCTCCTTCTCCTCCTCGTTCTCCTCCTCCTCCTCCTCCATATCCTCCTTCTCCTTCTCCTTCTCCTTCTCCTCCTCCTTATCCTCCTCCTCCTCCTTCTCCTCCCTCTCCTCCTCCTTCTCCTTTTCCTTTTCCTTCTCCTCCGTCTCCTTCTCCTCTCGGGGGCCTCCAGGACAGATGGGGGTCCCGGAGGGAGTGCGCGTCGTTTAACTGGCCCCTATTCTTATTGGCGTGGCCTGGGCCCCACTGGCCGAGTCCCCCCCCGCCCCAGATGGGGAGATCAGCAGCTTTCCCGTCGGCCTTCGAGGGGTATGCCTCGAGCTGGGGGGGGGAGATGGTGGGCGTCTGGATGGAGGAGGAGGAGGAGGAGCTGGGGGGGAGATGGGGGGGAGATGGTAGAGGTCGGTGAAACAATTTTGCTAGTAGAAGCCCCCCCAAACACATCGAACCCAACATCCGCTCACTTGTTCCACCAGATCCCTGCGGCCTTCGCCGTCCGACGGAAGAACACCGACAGCAGCGAAGGTGTGGGCAGCCCCACTCTGGAGGACGGCGGCTAAGATCGTTGAGATGGAGGAGGAGGAGGAGGAGGAGGAGGAGGAGGAGGAGGAGGAGCAGGCGGAGAGGGGAGGATCACGGGGCGCTGTCTCTTCAAAGCGAAGACCCAAAACCACAGGATTGTGGAGACGGGCGGCTTGTCTAACACGCTCTCGCTGTTGCGGGGGCGCGTCTCTTGGGCGTTCTAGCCAGGATTCGAAACGCTCGCGTGTCTAAGGTACCTTTCCCGTGCCCGAACGCCCGAATTGTGTCTAAATGTCAAACATGTCTAACGTGTCTACCCATGTCTCAAAATGATGTGAAAAACATGTTTCAGCCATGTAGACTCGTATCTGCAAATCGTGCATGCATCGTTTATGTGTATTGGATACGCGCGCACATCACCATCAAACGCGTGCCGACCGCAACGGTTCGCGAACTTCGTGGGGCTACACCTATGGGCTGCAGAGTCCGTGAGCGCATTGGAATCAGAGAGGCGCATGGTTCCCCTACGCGAGATCTACATTACACTTTCTGGGAACATGACACCCTGATACTGAACGGGGAACGGTCATAGGGGAGAAGGAGCAACATCAGCAGCAGCAGGAGGATCGGAACGGCGATCACAGCGGGGATTGGCCAGGTCATGAAGAACAGCATGACTGCAAGCAACAGCAACATTGGGGGGGGGGGCAGAACACGGGGTGGAGGTGGACGAGGAGCTAGACGACCAGGAACAGTATAAGGAGCAACAAGGCAGGAGGAACACCACGAGCAGGAAATGCATCCGCAGGAGAACGATTACACAAGCAGGGACCGACTCGATGGGAGCCAACGTTGTCCTACTTCTCGTCCTCATCCTTCTTCACGCAGTGTTATTTTCTTCTCCCCCACTTCCTCATCATCATCATCATCATCATCATCATCATCATCATCATCATCATCATCATCATCAGCAGCATCGCCATCATTGTCATCATTGTCATCATCATCATCATCATGATCATCATCATCATCAGCATCAGCGTCAGCGTCAGCATCAGCATCATAATCCTTCTCCTGGTCTTTGTCGTCCTCGTCGTCCTCGTCCTTCGCCCTCTGCCATCGCCCGAAAACTTGTCCCCATCCACACCCTGGATCCTGTTATCGGCGTCCCTGTCCTCACCCTATGTATTGACAATCGCAATGACGGCCGACGCCATGATCATCATTGTGCTCCCCAACGTCGTTATGACCATCCTCACCCTCATCGGTGAACACACCGCCTGTATCGTTGGCCTCCTCCCGGCCTTTCCCTCCCGCGAACCCCATATTATACATGGCATCCTACGTGTCTCGCCCTCGCTCACATCATGATCATTATCGTGCTTCCTCTCGCGTACCCTGATCCTCCCCATCCTCCTGCACCGTTGTCGGTTTCTGATTGCGTTCTATTCCTTTCCCTGGGGGTTATTATCAGCCTGCTTTCCCTGCTCAGTCTAGCCCTGGTCCTCCTAGTCTTCGCCATCATTCATCACCCTCGTCTCCTTTTCATCCTGCGGCCTTCGGTGGGGCTCCGTATGCAGCCACGAACCGTGTGAAGGGTGCACCGAAATAGGGGGGGGACCTGCATGCGGCCTGTGCCACTAGGGCCTTCGGTGGAGCTCCCTGTGGGGCCACGAAGCGTGTGAGGGGTGCGCCGAAATGGGGGGGGGCGGAACTACATGCGGCCTGTGCCACTGGAGCTTTCGGTGGGGCCCCCTGTGGGGCCACGAAGCGTGTGAGGGGTGCACCGAAATTTGGGGGGCGGAACTGCATGCGGCCTGTGCCACTGGAGCGTTCGGTGAGGCCCCCTGTGGGGCCACGAAGCGTGTGAGGGGTGCGCCGAAATGGGGGGGTGGAACTGCATGCGGCCTGTGCCACTGGGGCCTTCGATGGAGCACCCTATGGGGTCACGAAACGTGCGATGTGTGCCACAGTGGAAGAGTTGACGGGAGAAGGGAAAAGCGGGAGGAGGAGGAGGAGGAAAAGGAGGAGGAGGAGGAGAGGAACACGGGGCGCTACACCACAGGACCACAGGACGGTTGGGACATACTCAAGACCTCCTGCGCGGGAACACCCAGAGCACAGACACGCCCCCCTGTTTTCCTGCGCTTGTCCTGCGGCGTGCCCCCCTCCCCAGGCGCCGCCCCCAGCCGCCCCCAGCGCGGTGGCGGAATCGCGCGCCAGCGCGACCGGATAGTACAGCAGAGTCACGGGGTCGACGCGCTCCTTCTTGCAAAGCAGGCTGGCCTGCACGATGCTCTTCGCGGCCCTCGCCACCATGGCAACAACCGCGAACGCCAGCCCCAGAAAGCTAAAGTTCGCCTCCTTCTGCGAACAGATGAGGATGCCACCAAAAATCAGCGGCATCGATGCCCAAGTCCACCCATTGTACCTTTTGTCCGTGAATCCGCCGAGTCCGAGAGGGTCAATAAAAGCGTGGCGGGCGTACTCGCTGAGGTAGGGCTACTGAGAAGCACGCACCCCTGCGGCGGTCAGTGTTCCTCCTCCTGCACTCATGACTCTCCGAGTATCATCCTAGCCTTAGGTCGGGCATGCCCCTCTACAGGCGGATGTGTGGCGGAAACTTTAAAATACTCCAAACATGCCAACCAATAGCCACACAATACTCAACAAGTCGTCCCCAGACTTGTTCAACACCACATGTTTGAAGACTCCCCCTGTAGAGGGACATGCCCGACTTAACCCTAACCCGTCGGGAACACAACAGCAAACAAGTACTTCCCGATCGGGCGCAAGCCCGAGACATCGGTGACGCATCGGCGACGTCGGCGATGCATCGGCGACGTCCGCTTGAAGAAAGTCGGGATCCGCATCGAGTCGCATCGAATGCATCGGCAATGCGGCGCGATCCTCCGACCCCATCTACTCGGACCCCATCTACTCGGACCCCATATACTCCAAAGAGACCCAACAATAGCAACATAAATGCTCAACGACTCGTCCGCAGACTACTTCTCTACTATTCTTGAGGATTGCCCCTCTAGAAGGACATGCCCGAGTGAAACCTAGCCCGACGGGAGCAAAACAACAAAAACATAATCCCCGATCGGGCGCAAGCCCGAAACCGCAGCTCTGGCCCGGACCTCCGACACACACATGGAAAAACAAAAACACGGACAGGCAAACATGTCACCCCGTGAGGCACCCGCCCCGGCCCCCCCGACCCCTCGGACACAAACGAAGGGCGTGTGTTCCACCACCACCACCAAAAGTTAAAGGAGGAAGAGAAGAGCAGGAGGAGGAAGAAGAGGAAGGGGAGGACAAGGAGGAAGCTGAGGAAGTGGAAGCAAAGGAGGAAGAGGATGAGGAGGAGGAGGAGTCTCTGGAGTCTCTGCCCGACTGCGTAGCGATATGATGAAAATCCTCCTGCACCTGTTGTAAGTGCTTGCGTCTCTGGGCTTGCTCAGCCTTGCTGAGAATCTTGGGCCAGGGGCCCGAATAAATACCTCGTAAATACTCGCGCCCTGTGGCCGAAAGGGGTTGACAAACTGCTGCGAACTTCCCGATTTGCTGAGAGACGAAACTCCCGCAACGGGGGCATAACCAAATCCCCAACCCAGCGTGGGACCTCGGATGATGGGCTAAATGAATCCACCCCCCCAGCTGCATGAACCTGCTTACCCAGGGGGGGCCTCATATAGGTGCCATCTACACTTCTGAAATGGTAACACTCTAAATTATACCATTCTACACGGGTGCTAGCAGAAGCGAAACCTTTTACAATAGAGACACTTTCTACCTGTGTCGTCTAGCTGATAGGGGGGCCCAAAAGTTGCACACAGGGTGGGAGCAGGAGGACGGACAGGCTGGGCTCTGGCTCTCCTAGGCTGTCGGCTTCCTACAGGTACGTTCTGGCTATGGGCCTTCTCGAACTCAAGAGCCTCTCAATTGGATCTCAGGAGTCTCATGCGGACAAGGTAGGCGTCAATCTCGATTATCTGAGTCCTCTGACGACTGTGCTTTTCAACTCGATGGTTCTCGGCAGCCACGTGGGCAAACTCGTCGGCGAACAGTGCTGCCGCAGGGGAATGATGCATTGGTGCGGCCGATGGCGATGTCCTCGCCCGTCGCGTGCGAGTTAACGAAAAGCACAACGAAATCCCCTGATCAGCGAGCCTTCTCGACTCCGACCTGATGCCGGAGGTCGGCGTCTGGTCCAGCAGGCGAGTTCGGATGTCCATTGTAGAAGTTAAAGTAAACTCCTTGGCAATCTGCGATGTACCCGACGTCGTGGTCGGAGACCTGCAGGGCGAGGAGCATGGCCAGCAGCTCGCCACGGACCACCGTCTGCCTGTCACCAGGCAGGGGCCCCCACGTCGCCATCTGCAAGTGCATGTCGCTGATGCCGAGGCTGTGGAAAGCGGCGATGCCGACGCCCACGCGCCTCAGCACTGGCGGGGCCGCGTCGGCCCCTCCGCTGGCGTCGCCGCACATATGCATGACTGAGCGGGTGCGCTTGGCCTCGAAGCACTGCGGAGCGAAGGCCTCGACGCCGTGGGCGGTCCAGCGGTGGGCGCTGCTGGTGGCGGGACCTGCGCCCAGGCTTGGGGAACCAGGCCGCGCGCCCAGTAGCACTCGTACATGTCCTGTTGCGCGGCCGCCTCGCCGATCACGCGTTCCGCGGCGTCGTGCACGGGGCGCTTCTGGCGTGCGGCGCACTCCCAAGTCCGATGACATGGTGTTTCCTTTCCTAGCTGGCAGCGCGGGCACATGCCGTCGGCGATGGCGTTGGTCTGCTCCAACACTCGGGCCTTCGGCCACGTGGCCCCCGCTGCGATGGTGAGCATCGCGGTAGACAGCCGTCGCCCATGCTTCATCTTGGCTAGATGCAGCAGCAACTTGCGGTAGGACCTGTTGTCGATCCCGTGCTCCGTACCAGATCCTGCGTAGTGCTGGCTCGCCTGGGCCCAAAGTTTCGCTTGAGCACTGCAATCGATGTCCTGCAGCAGCGCGTCTGGGATGTCCACGCGCGGGTTCCCCGTGAGCTGCAGGCGGTCGAACTTCCAGGTGTCCTGACCGTGGGCCCCGATTATAGCCGGTGGGGGGGCCCACTCGCGCGGCCGCGTCCGTGTCCACCCCAGGTCCAGGAGGTGCAGCATGATGGCAGACTGCGGCCCCTGGATGTGGCGAGCGCGCTGCCCTCTAGGTAATGGCTGAAAAAATGGAGAACTGAACCCAATGTATCATGCATGGCCTTCTCCATCGGCCCCGCCTGGATCCATGTCGCAAGCCATTGCTGGATGGCTTCGCGCGGGGACTTACGGGCGGGGTCGGAGGCGGCAGCCTTGAGGTCCAGCAAGGTTGCGAGACACCGTCCTTGGAGCCGTGGGCCCAGCGAGTCTCCGAGGCGAGGAAGAGGTCCAACTGCGCGCCGAACACCCCGTGGAGTTGATGGCCGTAGCTGCCTGCAACATGTGCCCCTTGGAAGGCCCTGTCTGCCCGTGACGTGGCACCGTCGGGAGGCGCGGGCGAGGCGTGCAATCTTCATGTGCGGCAGCCCATGCTTGATGTGCCTCTGCGTCCCTCCTTGAGCTGCTCGGACACCTGCGCCGAGGCCTGAGCCTCGAGCGAGACCTTGAATCCATGACGGGTCAGGCCTCGCGTGATGCACCTCGAGTCGCCCATGCTGGAGCACAACAAAGATGCTCTTCTTGGCGATGCTGAGCCCCCGATCGCGGAGTGCACGGCAGGCGTCCAGCAGGCGCTTGAGGAGGTCGCGCCTGATGGCCCGGTGCGATCCCTGCATGCGCTGAGACAAGTCGTCCACCCATATACGGTGAGAGCAACTCGCGCGAACTGGGGTGACTCGTCGCATCGCTTTTTAGGTGATGACCTTGGCGAACCGAGTCCCTGATCTAAGTCCTTGAACTACCGAGCGCGTCGGCTGGAATGGCAGCGCGTAGCTGCCGCCCCGGGCGAGGACCCTGGGAGCGATGCACCGGGCGAGCCCCAGGCCCAGAACTTCAGCAAGGAAGTCCAGATCGAGGGCTTCTGCCCCCAGGTAGCACCAGCTGATAGAATCATAAAACTGAGGAGCATCCCAAAAAGACCGTGCTCCTGTGGCGCGCGGACGCAGGCGGTGAGCTCCTCCTGCAGGGCCGGCTCATAGGCGTCTCACAAGGCAGGGTTGCCGCGGACCGCTGCGCCCCACGGGGCGCAACCGTCGCGGCCCCATGCGCGCGCGGTGTCCTCGCGGCACATGGACCACAGGTGTGCGATCTCGGGCAGAAGTCCGATGATGCGGTCGTCGATTCATCAGGAGCTGATGCGGCCACATCTGCAGCTGCTCCACGATGAAACAGGCATGCGAATTCCTCCAGCGCCTCCTGCGGCAGGCGCAGCAGGTCCAGCGGGCTGAGGCGGCCAGCGCCTGCACCCGCGCGCGCTCGCTGCCGTCTGAGGGCGTGGCGCACGTCGTCTCCTGACAGTGGTGGGAGACCCTGAGCTTGACTATGATCAACGATATGTTGGAACAGGTCGGGAGCCCTCCTAGCGCCTGTCCTGGTGGAGCTCATAGTTGATGCCAGCTGACAGCTTCGTGGTCCAGCAGGACCATGGGATGCACGAAGGACGGCGACGCACCTGGGTCGACTCCGCTGGCAGGGGCTGCGGCTTGAGCGAGCGATGCAGCGTGCTCAAGGCTGGGGCAGTGATAGCCCATTCGCGAAATTCACGAGACTTGCCGACTGCCCGCCGCTCCTGCGTAGTCGATAAGCTCCTCGACGGGGGTGGTGCGAATCTGGCTGAGTAGTTCCAGCCACTTCGTCGATGGATTGTCGTCCTTTGGTTTGATGATGGCGCCCGCGCCTGCAGGCGCCTCCTGCAGCGGGCGATCCACGGCCCCGTGCAGCTGCTGGAGCTGGCGCTGACGGTTGCCACAAGCTCGGCGGCGGTAGATCTGCTGCAGCGCGGAGTGCAACCGCGCCTCGCCATGAGCGGCTCGACTCACGGCCTGAGCCCCCCGCACCGTCACAATATGAAACTCGGGGCCCCGTGGCGCCCGAGGTGGTCCTGCTGGTGGTGGCTGTGCATGGTGGCCTCCGCCGTAGGAACCCACGCGCCGTGAAACTGTCCTAGGGTCAGCGCGGTCGCGGGTTTGAATGGCAAGGCTACGGATTGGGCAACGGCAGCAGCAGGGCAGCAGCAGTCGGGGTTCAGCACCCCCGTTTGCGCGCGATGCTCAGTCCAGAGATCGCTCGGACTATCAAGCGACGGCTGCTGTCTGGCTGGGGCGGAGGCCCCCTCCGCTGACTGCTGGTGGCGGTCCGAGGTAAGGCTGGCACGCGCGGACTCCACCTTGGGTATCAGCAGGTATGGGGGGGGGTTCTCACGCTGAGCCAAATTAGAAGAGCTGGATGGGGCTGCTAGGATGTCCGCGGGGCTCAATT